GTTTATCTCCAATTTAGGTAATTTAACGTTAGCAACGTGCGAGATATTTCCATAAGTTATATTTTCTTGTAAATTATTGTTACCACTATTAACCGTTACTTCCTGTCTTGTAGTCTGGCATTTCAGTAAATATCTTTCAATTTTGCCTTTATAAGCCACTACTCGATCTTGATACTCTTGACTTTGTATGATTTCACTCTCTAATTCATCGCTTTTATCAAAATAATTTTCAATTTTCAAATCAAGATCCTTTAAAGTTTCGTTTTTTACATTTAACTGGTTTAGATAATCATACAAATCAGGATAATCAGGAAGTGTTTCTAATAACGATTTATCAATTTTATTTATTAATTTTGTAATCAGCTGTCTGATTACTGCTCTTTTGGACTTTAATTTTTCAAAATCATCCATTATAAACAGCTCGCACGTTACTAAAACAAATACAATACAACTAATACAATGAAAAATCAAAATAAATTACCGACTTAAGGGAGACCAAACAAAACAAATGTTAACTTACATTTCATGCAGGTGGCCTATTTTCGGCCGGTGTAGCACCTTGATTCGAATTCAACAATAATTACACAAATTGTAATAATAAAAAGGATTTTATTTCATTGTGGTTCAGTGGTTAAATCCAAACTGAAACTTAAGAAGTGAAGAAAAAATAATAAGAAATTGTTTGCGCTCAGCGCCATCTGGTATCATGAATCCTCAACAACCTGTAATATCATTTGCTTATGTATTGACGAAATAGTTGATTTAATTATGGTACATCTGTTTTGTATTATTCACTAATGGTTATTATACAGATAATATTTTTATATATTGACAAAATGCCTAATATAATTATGGCATATCTGATTTGTACTAATGCACTTGTCATATACTAATTGTTATGATAATCATAATATTTATTTGTTGTTGTGTGCTAAAAAAAATATGTTTGGAATTTCTACATTCATTAAAGGACTTTTTTTAAAAAATATTTTGTTATCATTAAGTTTCCTACATTTATCATAGAATACATATTAAGTAAGAGATAAATAATCAGTTGCATTTTATTTATTTTGACAAAAGAAGATATTTCATGTTAATTTTCTTTGATATACAAAAAACTGAACATTTTTGCACTCATCAAAACTTCTCACACTGCATAAATTTCCGAATAAGAAAGAAGAAAATACGCAGACCCTCTTTAAGTATTACTTACGTTCTATTTATATTGTGTTTTCATAAATCGTTGAATAAAAAAAAAATTCATATTAGACGTTATTTTATCTTGTAAATCTTTAAGTTCTTACAGCAAAGTAAGTCAAACTGATAAAAAATGACTATTTCCCCCAAAATAATCAAGCGAAATTGATGGAAAGGAGAATTTTCTTCGGGCTGAGAAGCTATAAGAAGTAAAATATAAAACAAATAATGAAACGTGCCGTCATACAATCGTGGGAGAGATGACATCACGTTCAGAATGACGTTTTAGCTGACGTACACTAGCAATAGTATTAAATTGCATTGTCAATGAAAATCTCATGACAAGGTGGATTTTAACTGAGCATACGAAACGCTGCAAACAGAAACCTTATAATTATGTAGATTTAGAATGATTTTTCATCTTAGAACTAGCGTTATTCAAGTTTTTTTTCTCTTGAAAACCCTAAGACAACCTCGTTTTAAGGTTGTTAGGTAGAAGGTTGTTTTCCAAGGTTTTGTATTAGGGTAATGTGCGTAGAATAGAGCAGATTCTCGCAGACCTCGTTTTAAGGTTAGAAGGTTTACACGTAAACCGTGTAAAAACCCTTTTTAGGTTTACAGGAAAAGGTTTTTGTTGGGTGAAAAAAACATTATATTGCTATCTGGGTTCGGATCATCCTCAGGGATGTTTCCCAGACCATCGCCAGTAGCCCATTGTGCAGCTCTAGTGCGACGTAAATGAGCTACAAAACCAACAACCTCGCACTAGAGCTGCACAATGGGCTACTGGTGATGGTCTGGGAAACATCCCTGAGGATGATCCGAAGGCATGCCATAATAATTTTGATCCTCTGCAGAGGAGATCGCACCCCCCGCTTCGGTAGCCCGTCGATCTGCACGAGAAGTCAAGCACTTTATGATAGAGTAGTTTAAGGAGAGCCGATGCCACCCTCCCTCGGTTCCTTCGCAGACTAATCCAAGTGGTCACCCACCCGCACGCTGACCGCAGCCAGTGATGCTTGACTTCGGTGATCTGCTGGGAACCGTGTCTTAACGATCATTCTTCCGCGGGACCTCTAGTGCGACGTAAATAAGCTGCACCAACAGCCTATCTTTCACTCTACAATAAGCGAGCTATAAGCAAAATACTGCAAGGAGCTCCAAAAATGCCTGTTAGTCAGCATCATCTTAAAGCAAATCCTGCAACCTGGATCAATCTCTTGGTTGTTGATAATCGACGAGTAAAACTGCACCTGCTATTTTCGACTAATGTGATTTTATTGTTATGTTTTTTATTACGGCAATGGTAACGTGAATGTGGAAATATGCGTTACGTGTGTATCTTTTGTTATGTTTATATTTTGATCTTCAGTATTATTACTTTTGAATCGCATTCATTTCGAACATTTTCTGACGATGATGTTAAAGTGTATAGGTAAGCAAATAATAACAGTTGTGCCATACGGTTAATTTCTAGATGTAATAGATTTCTGTATGTTGAAATTATGAGATAGGTATTGAAAATCATATTCTTTGCCTTGTCTCCCTTTATTTTTGCATTTGCTAATTCATAAAGGTGAAAATAATTGTAGGAATAATTAACGGAAAAAAAAATCAAGTTTTTGTATCCTACCTGACAAATTTTTAAAAACCTGACAGGATTTTAAAGATTTGAAGCATTGAGAAGATTTTCGTATCGGTATCTATGTCAAAAGTGGGATATTTCCGTATTGTGATCTGCCGCTCAACAATCACCAAGTTGCCAAATTGATTTTATATTGAAAAAAAAAAGAAAAAAGACCTGTAGAGGTTAGCTAAGAGTTATACCCTTGGAGTTGGTCCCTTTCTGTGATGTCTTTATTTTAGTTTCTTGCAAGCTGCTAAGACTTCATGCTTATTCTGCCACAGATCATGATAAGGAAATCTTCCCGTCAAAAGAATTACAAAGTTTTTTACCTTTCTTTTAAAACTTGAAAAACGACATGACCAAATTAGACCAACTCAGAGATAATTTGTAACTAGAAAATTTCAATATCATGATCTTTCACGCCAACTACAATCGTTAAAGAGATTTTTAATTTGCAATTTGAAAAAAAAAAAGCAAGTAGAGGTTTGCTCAGAGATGACCATGAGTTACACCCTCAGGGCGCTTTCTTTGTGTGATTCTTTTATTTTATTTTAGTTTCTCATGGGCCACTGCCTGGTAGTAGCCAAAACTTGGTGATTATTCTGTTGCAGAGAACGATATAGAAATCTTCCCTAGCTTACAAATTCATCTCCTTCTGTGCTGTTTTTACAGTTTCCCTTGGGTTGATGCCAAGATTTAGCAATTATTCTGCCATAGATCACGATAAAAATTATTTTCCCCCAATGAATTTTAAACTTGTAAATTCTTTTGATAAGAAAATATTTAGAGGTTTTCAAGAGGGTATCTATGAGGGAATATTTCTATGTCTTGATCTTTTTTGTTAATTACTGTTGCCAAAGCTCCAAATGGATTTTGAACTCACAAATTTAAAGTAGAGGTTTGCTTGTAGGGAGTATGAGTTATACCCCTCGAGTTGGTTAGGATTTTTATCATAATTATGAGGAAGCCAAATATTGCCAACCTCTTGGTGATCTACAAAAAAAAGGTCACCATGGGGTTGCTAGACAGATATAAATCTGGTAAGGAGAAGAAGAAAAGGGGAGAGAAAAGGTGCTCCCTAAGAGGAAGGAACTAAAGGACAGTAATAATGTCATGATGTCTGGAATGGAGAGAGAATTGATGTAACAGGTATAGAAGATTGAAAAAAAATGTGAATTCTAATGAAACATGTCAATGTAAGTTCTAAAAAAACAAATATTTAAAAAAAAATCAAGGATAAGCATAAATGAATATTTTCTTTTGGAATCCTTATTAATGGATGTTAATCCATGTTGACAATGTTCATTAAAACCGATGTAACTTTAATCAAAAAAAAAAGTTTGTCAAACATAATAATTTTACATTTATTTGTATATTATTTATTATGTTATTATTGAAACAATTTTAATTAAAAAATAACTAATATTTTTTTTAAAATAGAAAATTAAATTAAAATTATACAATTAAATTTCAACATCTGACTGAGGGATTCCAGTTGAGTGCCATATCAGTCACCGATGAATGACACTTAACTTTCATTCATGCCGCACCAGTCATCTGTGATTGAAAATGTAAAATATGATACAAACAAAAGTTTTCACTTTGTTTTAAGCAATTTTTTTTAGAAATTTGATTCCAGTTTAACAGAAGGTAAAAAGCAATATTTCTGATTAACTAGTTATGTATAATTCTTGTGAATAAAATGCATGTTTGTTGACCAGATGAATTTAAAGTAGTTTAAGCGTTTGTTATAAAATGTTTATCAGCTTTAATTTTTAGAAATTTTGTTGTTCTTTATTTTAGACCTGTGTTACTTAAATTTTTAAAAAAGACTCTTCTACTTCTAAAAAAATATTGATAATTTTTTTTTTTTTTTTTTTTTTTTTGAGAATGGTGTCTTTTTTGGCTTTAAGGTCTTGAATGCATCCTAAGTAGCACATAGTGATTTTATTTATGAATCTAAATATAATTATATTATTTATATATTTATTCTAATACATTATTCTGGTTCTGTGCAAGAGCATTTTCTACTTATTGAACTGCTTTAAAGTTTTGAGCAAAGATGTTTCTCTTACTTATTTGGCGAGATTTTTTGTACACAAAAAAAAAAGATCAAAACTGCTGTTCTTAATTGCATTTTAGGATTTAAAAAATTAAAAGAATTTTTTTTTTTTTCATATCATGTAACTAGTGAAAAGTGTTTTAACTATGCTTATGGAACATTTATAATGATTCTAAGTAGATAATAAGTTAGGAAACTATGTTAACAACTTAAAATAAGAGAAATGCAGTAAGCTTCATCAGGAAAAGGCCAGAGAATTTCTTTCACAGTTTCTGTTTCCGTTGCCACCCTGTAAAGTCTGTCTTTAAAAGCAAAAACATTTGTAAATCGTTGAACAGAAATGAACAATTTATTTATATTAATCTAATTTTCCTGAATGTTTTTAATAATTAATGGAAATTTTTTTAATTATTAATGCATATTAATTCTCAGTCAGACATTTAATGCAAGAGAAAGGTTTTCTCGTATTGAATTTTTATCTTCAAGTGAGGTTTTATTGATAAATGTCAAAGAGAAAAGGAGTGACATTTTAAATGCTATAAAATTTTCTACTCCTGATCAGTCAAATTTGAGATTTCATTTCTCCGAAAATGATAATTTGTTTCAAAGATAGATATTCAGTAAATTTACTTAATTCGACTGCTTTGTAAAATCTTGTATGGTTTAATAATTCTTATGTTTTCCTATTGTTGAGATAAATATTTTAATCGTAGATGTTTTTTTTGGCAAATGTGTGGATAAAACATTTGGTTTGCTGCAGAGCCAAAAACCTATTAAAATAAAATATTCAGAGTATAATTTTTATAAACTTTTTAGATCTCACAAACTTAAATAATATTACCCTTTTTACTAAAAATATATAAATAGAAAACATCTTATGAAATAAAGAGTGTTCAATTTATTTCATTTTTTTAAAATTGTTTTTTTGATTGAGAAACTGTCAAATGAAATTTGAGAAGCTGTCATAAGAATTCATAAGAAATAACGTTTAGCTTTGAGAAGACCTGTTCCGAAAATGAAAGTGCAAGTAAATTACATATTGTATCTGGTGTCTTGGGGTATTAATCCACTTTTAGATGCACCTGGATTTCAGCCCCCACCCCTCTAAGAAGCTGCAGCTATGATGGAGATAATGATATAGGGGGTTAAAGAGGACTGGTAGACTTAGGGTTGCACACCCCTTCAACTTCAGAGCATGATGACCACATTTTATGTATTTATCTAAATTATTTAAAATCCTTCCTTATCCAAATGCTTTTTTAAATATAAATTCCAGAAAAATATGTTATTAATTGCCCAAAATGTTTAATTCCCCCCCCCCCATTCAAATGGAGCTTTTACAGAATTTGTCGAAATTTTTTTTTGATTTCCACACCTGCGCTGTTTCTAACTACTATTTTAAACACAAAAAACTTGCTAAATTATTATTGGTTCTTTTGTTTATTTTCAAATTATTAAGTGAAAAAATGCTATAATTTATCATTTTGCTATCATTTATAGACACAGCGGTCGCTGTATCTTATTAAAAATATAGCGGTGGGACAGAATATTAACAAATCGAATAACCAAGTTGAAAATTTAATGGTATTTTTATTTTATTTACTTTTTATAATTAACAATTGATTAAATAATTCTTTTTATAACTTATCCACAATAGCCCCCTCACGTGTCTACATTAGTGGTTAATTTTTTTTAAACAAAACGATTATTAAAAAAGTATACTTCCAAATTATTAACATCATAATGTTCGATTTTTTCATTCAAAATGAAGATAAATGTTCGAATTTTCATTAAAAGAATACTACAGGAGTTGCACAAAATAATCGAAAGACTTCGATACTAACACATTTTTTGATATTTCTCAGAAAATACTTAGAGAATCAAATAATATATTTAGATCCTGCGATTTCTTATACATATCAATGAAATTTAAAGCTTTTTGAGGGTTGAGGCACCGAGAATGAATAACAAACGGAAAAAATGCTTTTGAACACCCTATGACAAAAAAATTTAGTAATAAATTTGTAACTTATTATTTTGGTTCTTATATACAATAATTGAACTAAACTTCGTAAACGTAGCTTAAATATTTTTGAAAATATGAATATTTTTATAAAAAATTAGAAAATAAATTTTTTTTTTAAAAAAAAAACAAATTTTTTTGTCTTGCGTTTTTTTTAATAACTTTAAAAAAATTCAATAAAATAAAAAAAAAACTTTGAATTAATTTTAAATTGATTGAAGAATTATTGACATAAAATTTTTTAAAAAATGTTAAAAACTGCTCCAAATAAGTGTAATTAACGTTTTTTTTATACTGCACATATACGCAAAAAAATAACTAAATAAAATAAATAAATAATTTAAAAAATTTTCTTAATTTTGTAGTGCATCTTATTTGACAACTACTTAAATTTGATTTGAATATCTTAAGCAATTTTCTAAGGAGTTTTTTTCTTTTTAAAAGAAACCTCAAAATAACAAAGGATTTTCCACAAATTTCATTTTGTACTATTAAACAAGATTTATAAATGACACCGGTTGGAGATTATGCCGATTAAAGTTTCTTTTCTTTCGCATGTTTTATTTCCTAATTCCATCACACTTTGTTGTCCAGACCATCATTAGTAGGATATTATCATTTGTTAATAAATCTTGTTTAATAGTACAAAATGAAATTTGTGGAAAATCCCTCATAATTTTGAGCTTTCTCTTAAAAGAGTAAGAAAACTACTTAGAAAATTGCTTGAAACTTTTTTCATTTTTAAGATATTCAAATCAGACTTGTTAGTTGTCAAATACGATTCACTGTAAAATTAAGATAATTTAAAATTTTTTTTTTTCCGCACATGCGCTGTATAAAGCAACTACTTCAATTACTCTTATCTGGCACAATTTTTATTATTATTTTTTAAATTTTAAAGCAATAATTTCGTTATCAGTTTAAAATTGATTCAAACGCTTTGTTTAATTTTTTTAAATATTTAAGCTGTAGCAAAAAAGATAAAAAATTCGTTTTTATAAAAATGTTCATACATCACTATAAATATTTAACCAAGGTGTACGAAGTTTTGCCCAATTATTGCATATAATATCCAAAATAATAGTTATGAGTTACAAATTTATTGCACACATTTTTTGGCACAGTTGTTGAAAAACATTTTTTTCCGTTTGTAGCTCATTGTCGGTATCTCAAACTTCAAAAAGCATTAAACTTCATTGATATGTAGGAGAAATCGTACCATCTAATATCTTTTAAATTTATGAACTGATTCTCTAAGTATTTATTTTTTAAATATTAAAAAATGTGTTAGTATCGAAGTCTCTAAATTATTTTGTCAAACTCTTGTATATATGATTAGACACATACATATATATAAATTTAAAATAAAAAATTTTATTAATGCATGTTATTCCAATGTTTTTTTCATTTTTATTTAATAAAATCTCCTCTCCTAAAGATTGCATTATTACACTATTCTTTTCATATCCTTCTTATCTAGGAGTTTGCTCCGGCAGCACACCCCTGTACGTCATTACAAACAAACTACTTAACTAATTTGTTTACACCTCAACGAATAATTTTTACATAATTCTAACAATATTTTCTAATTGCCTTCTTGCGAAGTATGTAGCTAGATTTGAGGAAATAAAATACTTGGGAAATATTTATAATTAAAATGACATAATCAGAAAGCTATAATGGTTAAATGAGATATATAATTTTTTCCCTGTCTTAAAGCATTTTAAAACATGTGGTGAATTTATTATACTAAAAATTTCATGACACAAATTTATTCAATTTTTATTGCATCTAAGGCATTAATGAAAAACTAACTTTTTATTTGGTGAATCCGTTTGTTTTAAAATATATCTGTGAATAACAAAATAAAGTGATTAAAATAAAGGTGATTAAAAAAAGAAGAAGAAAAGGGAAAAAAGAAAGAACTATAGAAATGAAGATTGGTACATAGTCAGGTAAGCGAAGAATCACTTTAACCAGTTTAATGATCCAACGGAAACAGAAACTAGCATCCACACAGAAATCGGTACTCTTCTACTACATTTTTCATTCCGGATTCAAAAAATAAAAATAATTGGTTTTGTTGGCGATGATCTCGTAAGACAATAAAGAATCATGCATAGTACACACGCAGAGCATTCAGAATTCTTTCAAAACAATCACTCAAAGACTAATAACAATGCCTTCGATATTTGACGGGTAAGGAAGGGGATATGAAATTCTCCTCGAAGGAAAAGTGGATTAATACCCCAAGGAACCATTGTATCTTGAGAGTGAGTTTTAACTTGAGAGATTTCAAAAGGTAAATGTATAGAGAGATATATATATAGAAAGAAATTTAAATGTTGGAAATTCAGGTCAGTCAATTTTAACTTGACACTATTATAAATTTTGTGAATTTTATGGTGTGATAGATAAAATTTTACAACAGGTAAGCTGTTGACTGCCCTATGCAATCGCTTCTGATTTATTTTTTTAATTTTTTTGCAAAGTTTGCATTTGTAATCTTTGTCAAAAGAATTACATGTAAATAAGAAAGGTATAAAGCTTTTTACATTGAAATGTGTTAAGGGAATGAGCTTTCATGAATTTTAAATGTATTATAAGAATAATATTTTTCATATTTACATGCATAATTCCTTCAATTTTAACCAAATTTACTTGAACCTTTAACGATGCGTAATACAGTTAAAAATGGTATTCCTTTCATAAGTTTTAATTAAGTAAGTGTGTACCAACTTGCTTTTACACAACCTAGGCGAATTTGTACAAAAATGTTCTTGCTCAGCAAATTTTTTAAATTGAATGTCAATGAAAAAAGTCATTAATTTTATTAGTAAACTATGTTTCAAGTTAACAAACTTAAAGCAAAATAAAAGAGAACTATATAAAATTCATATGAGCTCTTTTATTTTTAAGTAATTTAGGTGAAAAAGTAAAAAAAAGTTACTGTAAGTATACCTATATGAGAAACACTGTTCAAAGAAAACGCTATTTAAAGTTTACAAAATTCATTAAAATCATTAAGCTTTAGAAACATAAATATTGGCTGCTTAGTGTGTATTTTTTATTGTTTTTATTTTTAATAATTTGATACCTCTTTATATAATTATATTTTTAATTTGTACTAAGGGTGTTATTTTATTTAACTAATATTTTATTTTAAATAATATTTATTTAAATTCTTAATGTAATTCAACATTTAATTTTACTCAAATATATTTTATTTTGTTTTGATCTTTAGAGAAAAAGTTGTGCAAATGTTTCAGCATGCTTATGATCACTACTTAAAAAGCGCATATCCCTATGATGAATTGCAACCAATTTCTTGTCGAGGCATGGATACTTGGGGAAGCTTCTCTTTAACATTGATAGATGCATTAGACACTTTGGTTGTGATGAAGAACTACTCAGAGTTTCGCCGTGTGGTTAATACATTGCTGTCAACTGCAGATTTTAATGTCAACATCAATGTGTCAGTGTTTGAAACTAACATCAGAGGTAAGTATTTAACCAAAAACTAACAGTAAATTTCAATCTGTTTAAACAGCTACATATTTAAAATTCGATGTCTTGAGAACTATTCCTCTTATTTTGTTATTCAAAATTACATGCTTTAATTGATAAGCATAGTTAAAGTGCAGCTCTTGAACCATAAAGATTGAGACATGTGAAAATCTGGTTATTAGATCAAAAGTTAATCAAGGTGTTAACTTTTTGCACATTGTACTGTATGCATGATTAAAAAATAGGAGAAAGCTCTTCATTACAAAACCCAAACTATAGTACAGGGTGCCTAGCGTTTTTTAAAGTGCTTAAAGGTGCTTATTTTCAATTTTTGTTTTTTAAAAGCCCTTAAAGGTGCTTTTTTCCATGGAGGTTTTTATATTTTTATATTTCTCCAAAATTTTATATTTTTCTTTACCATGTTGATTTTCGCCACAAATTTTGCAAAAAGACATTGTCTTATTTAACGTTTTCCCAATTAATTAACCCCAATCTATTTTGGCGTACCGCCGGTCTGTAGTGTATGAAAACACCGTGTTTGATGAAATGCTTGCGGGTCCGCACTTGCGTATACTGAGCTGGGGTGGTAAGGATTTTTGACTCTCATGATGTGCAACCCTGCTGCATTTTGCAAGATATTCTCAATTTCAGACTTCATTTTATGCCCTCCGTAATAGAATTGAGAAATCTCTCGAAATTTTGCTGATTACGGGGACCAACTAAGCATTGTAATTTTTTTTCTCTCTTAGTGACAGAAAATTTCATTTCTCTTGTTAATTTCATTGTTTGTGATGTGCCATCGTCTTCGTCACTGTAAATAAACTGGATAAAACCATCAATTGTCAGAAACTTGCCAACCCTGTCTAATGATATTTTTCAAAGTGCTTAAAAATATTTTTTGAGTGCTTAAAAGGTGTTTATTTTTTGTTGACTACACCTGTAGTATGTCTGTTTATGAGGCATTATTTATGCGTTTTTCATACACTCATGGACAAAAAAATTCAATCGTCAAAATGAAATGAAATTTTACACACGTAATGACTACTTTGATGTAAGCAAATGATTAGAAAATCAAAGATTATTGTTTTTCTTTGATTTTCTAATCATTTACTTATATCAAAGTAGTCAATACGTATGTAAAATTTCGTTTCATTTTGACGACTCCTTCTTGGTGCGCTAATATTTTTGTCCATGAGTGTATGTATCATTTAAGAATTTTTAATTTGTCCCGCAGTGGACTGGTTGTTAAGACACGGTTCCCAGCAGATCACCGAAGTCAAGTATCACGGGCTGCGATCAGTGTGCGGATGGGTGACCACTTGGATCAGTCTGCGTAGGGACCGAGGGTGTGCGTTATTGGTCCTCGTTAAACTGTTCTACCGTAAAGTGCTCGACTTCGCGTGCTGGTCGTCAGGCTACCGAAGCGGGGATGCCATCCGCTCTGCAGAGGATCAAAATTGTGGTCGCATGTCTTCGGATCATCCTCATGGATGTTTCCCAGACCATCGCCAAAGGCTCAAAAGCCAGCTCTAGTGCGGTGTAAATGAACTACAATTACAAATTTTAATTTCTGACCCTCAAAATAGCCTCAGTCTGGAAGTTATGGTCCCAATTATTTAACAAGAACAGTCAAAAGTTTGAGCCCCTTAATATTAATTTCCCCTTTTGCTTATTTTTCTGAGAATATTAAAGCAAATCGAAACTTTTTTGTTTATTCAAACATAGTTTCTTCTGAAAAATAATTCTTTGCAATATCTTATCATTTAATTCAATAATGTTATTAAAACTTTTGAATTGTAAGACATACAAATTTTTACATTATTTTAGAGTATATATTTTTAAATGACAAAATCCAAAATTTGAATGATATTGGTCATAATTCTTCGGAAATAAAAATTTAAATTTATGATTTTTTAGAAATTTCATTGTTAAGAAACTTCAACCAATTTTGCCTAAATTTTGAATTTTGTTCTAAACAAATGTTGAAATATACAAAAAGTGAAATAAACCTTAAGGAGCTCAAAGTTTCCACCACTTTCTTAGTTAAACTATAAAGATGTTGGTTTCCAGAGTGCGGTTACAAACCATGAAAATCTTATTATATTAGTTAGTTCATGAAAATCTGATGGTAAAAGCATTGCTTTTGACTTGAAAAAATTTTTTTACTACAAAATTTTTAGAGGAAGCCAAAAAGTTGAATCTTTACCTTGAACATATAAAATGTTTCATAATAATTTCATGATTCCTTAGTGTGTATGAAGTTAGTTTTATAACTTTGTATATTGTCTAACTATGGATTAAACCAAATTATAAGCATGTTAGTGTTGCAGTTCAATGAAATGTAATTTTACCGTATTATACCGAACAAGCACCCCAACTCGATCAAAGCCCCACTGCAATTTCTAACAAATTCAGATGAGTAGTGAATACTGAATAATAGCTCTTTCCATTAAATACTCTCACGTCACCATTAAATACTCTCATTTTTTTAATATCACTGGTGTATTAAGATCAAATTGAAATGTCATTGCTTTGCGGAAAACTAAAAATGAAACTGTGTAAGAGAGACAGGTTTAAAAAGAATGTGAGTGAATGAATTGTTGAAAGAAAAAATTAAGGCTTTGCTTTCTTAGAATTATTCAGGAGAATACTAAAAAATTGGTTCGGTTCAAGGATGCACAGTTTTGCCTTTGTTTTTTAGGAAGCAGAAATGGTTTGCTTCATTCCTATTTAGTGATGTAAAAGTTGTTACCCAGAAAACAGACATTCTTAATGATTGTTAAGATATTATTTTTCTCAGTGATTTCTCTTTTAATTGTTTTGAAGATTTTGATTAATTTTTCTTTAAAATTTGCTTTAAATATGTTTGATTTTATATTCATATTACATTTTTCATAATTTCACATGTTTATTGTTCAGAGATTGCATGTATTGCAATTGTGTTGCCATTTTTCTAGGAAAAACAAATGATGCTGTTATTAAAAATTCTCTAAATTAAGATACATTTCAAAGATCTATATTGTTTTTAATTATACTGTTAAAGTCTGTTATAACGATGATTCAGAATAACACAAGATTGTTTGAGTGAGCTTGTCATTATAAACATGTTATATATTGCATGTTTGCCTCAAAATTTGGGGGGAGGTTAAGTGACATTTTATTTGTTTGGAACTGTTTGAAGTTTTTTCTTGTTTGTAAAAACTAACCTTGCTACTATTTAAGTAAAATTTCTCAAATCTTTATAATTGTTATAAGAAATAAACAGTTGTTAGTTGCATCTTATAGTATGCCTCATGTTTTATGTATATCAATCTTAAATTTAATAAATTTCTATATTAATAATTTTTGACAAATTACATTGTACTTATAATTATTGTGCTTTTATTTTTGTTAAAGTTGTTGGAGGTTTGCTCTCTGCTCATCTTCTATCCAAACGAGCTGGTCTTGATGTGGATCCTGGTTGGCCTTGTTCTGGACCATTACTAAATCTAGCTGAGCAAGTAGCTAGACGATTATTACCTGGTGAGGTTTTAAAGTTATGTTAAAATGAATTCCCAATTGTTACAACTTACCAAACTGTTTTAAAACTGCACTACAATAGAAGATCTGTATAATGCAATTCTATTGACTGCAATTCTCCATAAACCGCAGTAACTTTACAATTTTTAAAGAGAACTAAAATTTATATGCTGGTTTTTAGCTCTAATTCACTTGGTTATTTAAATTGTTTCGGTAAATAATAAATACGTTGGTGCATATTTTTGTTTCAAACTGTATTTTATAAATGATTTTAAAGAATTTATATTAATCTGTTCCAGTTGCATATTGCCATGTTTTGTCGATTTACTGATATGAGAAATAATCTATATAATACTAAACTTTAAATTTCACATTATAAAAATCTTCTACTTTGTCATATTTCAGGTCTTAAATAGATAGCAATTAGAATCAGAAAATTTATTGAATGCCACTAAGTGAATTACAGAATGTTTTGAAGTAACAGTTGTATTTTTCCTTGCCTAATCATTTATAATTTTTTTTTCGAATTGGGAATGACCTCATTGATGTTTAGTTTGGGGGAAATAATTTAGCTATGTAGACTGATATAATTTTATGTGTAAAATTGAACACCCAATGTAAAACTTGATCTTTGACTAATTAGATATCTATGTGAATTTCAATACAGTACAGAACCCGTTATCCGAAAATCAGAAAACCGGAAAACCAAAAAACTGGAACGAAATTTGATAAATTTTCCTGCCATTTAAAAAAAAAAATTTTTTTTCCTCATAAAATTTTAGGATTTTTCTTTCTTTTTTGAAAGATGTTCACCTTACCATCATTTTGGAAATAATCATTAGTGTATTACTTAATCTTTTTTTCTTCTTTTTAAGATTATTTCCAAAAAAATGTTTTTTTTAGTTGGGTTTAACAATAAAAAAAAGGCTTTTTGTAGCGATTCAGAAAACCGGAAAAATCAGTTATCCGGAATAGCGATGGTCCCGATCGTTCCGGATAATCGCTTCCCTATTGTATTTCTTTATAAAATTTCAATAACATACATACTATTTAATCCAATGGTAGGTCACTTGCTCAACTTATCCACTCAGTCTTTTTTGAACTTTTAGATACAGGTTTTTCAGCATAAAAAAAAGTTTTCCATGTTATTTCATGTGAAAGTAGTGTGTAATGGGAAGTTTCAACGCAATTTTACCGGGGGGTTCAACGCTTGCAGGATTAAAAATGTTGGTTTCCAATTATTCATTATTCTCAAAATTTAAAAATAACTACTGACATTTCTTAATACTATTCAATTATCTTTTTTATTTGCTTTACTAGCAAAATGCAATGCAATCAATGTACTATAGTACATTAGTGGGTGATTCCTTTTTGTTTCCTAAGCTTTTGTAGCAACTTCATATGAATTCAGTGTGTCATGGTGCTTCATATGTACTGAATGCTGTACAAAGGATAAAGTCAGAGACAAGACTTGGTCTAGTTAAGCTCTTTAAAAAAGGTGTTAAATGTTTCCTTACAAAAAGTGAAACTAACATAATAAAAACACTTCTGTTTACATTGATGCTTACAACAACTAAAATAAATAAAAATATAATCTAGCAAAAGTTAACTCATTAAGTGAAACATTTTATTTGCTTCACAAATTAAGATGAAAAAATTCTTCTTTTTGAGCACTCAGATCCACCTAAACATACCACACATAAATTAGGAAAGCAAAACACATTTGGAAAAAGAAATACAAAGTTGACAATGAAAATTAAAAATGAAATGTGGGAAAAAAAATTAGATTATGGTGAGTGAAGTGATGGTGACCAAAAGTGGCAAATCAAGGTAGGATACATTTCCAAGTAGTATTGTGAGTCATTAATTAGAGAATCAGCATTTATATGAATAAAACAGGATTTCTAAGCATCAAGATGAGCTGAAGTGAAAGGGGTGTCTAGAATTTTTGTATTATTGAAGTTCGACAATAGAAAATATATCGAATTTATGACGACAAACACATCTGTCATGTTCTTTTAATCTAAATTTTTATAACATGTTTGGTTTGTCCAATTTCCCCAAAGTTGCATTGGTTAAGTATGTGGTAAATGCCCAATGAAAAATCAGCAGTGATTTCCAGTGCTGATTTGATCTTTAAAAGATGTAAATTAAATTTGTTACCAGGTCTGGAAATGATTCTAGAACTAAAGCGGTGCAGGATGTTAGTAATTTTGTACAGGGTTGCCACAGGCGACTAAAATACTATTTGCAACTATTTTTGGCATGAAGCGACTATGGCAACTTTTTTTGCCTGAAAAGGCTGAAAAAGCAACTATTTTCAGAAAAGGAGACTATTTAGAGTCTTTTCTCCACTCCTAGCAATGTTTTTTTTTTTTTTTTTTTTTTTTTTTTTTTTTTTTTTTTTTTTTTTTAAAGCATAAATTGGGTGGAAAATCTGCACTCCAAGATAGTTTCTGAACACACTGAACTTTTTTTTTCTTAAAAAATTTTGAATTTTAAATTTGAGTCTTCACTTTTTAATTCGTTCAATCTGCACAGACTCCATTGTAAGCATTTCATTTCTCTATCGCCTTTTCAATGATTATTGCTACAAAATTCTGCATGACTTTAAAAAATTTTTTTTTATGATGCATGAATTTCGAATTTGAGTAATCACTTTTCGCACACACACTAGGGCTGGGCAATGTCAGAATTTCGATATTGTGGTATATTGTGTGCTTCATATCACGATATTATGATATACCGCGGTAATTAAATTGTTATGCATATTATAAATGCTAAGACTTTTTTGCAAATAAAAATTTATGTGTTTAAAGAGCATCATTTAAAAAGAATGGGGAACTTATCCTATATTAGCTCGCAGCATAAATATCCCATAGAATCAACTAATTATGAAGCATCATCATTTTAAAACAGAAAAATTTTATTAATATAAACATCAATTACTAATATAAACATCAACACAATTATAAACATCACAACACTATTTCTCAAAATTTTGCAACACAATTAAACATAATTGGAATTTTTACTTAGAAAGATCTGCATCTCAGCTTTGTCAGGCAATAAAGATGCACGATCTTTAGTAATAACATTGCCTGCTACACTGAATACACTTTCAGATGGTACACTTGTCCCTGGTATTGCAAGGAAGCGCCTCGCAATTAACTGCAATTTCGGAAAAGAGGCATAATGTCTTTTCCACCACATTAATGGGCATTCCGAAATGCTAATTTTTGAAATATTTAAATACTCATTCATCTCCCTCTCAGATTTTGCTATTGGTGTACATTCCCTAACATTTAAGTCCTCTTCTTCATCTGAGTCAAAAAACTTAGCAAGTCCTTTTCTTTCTGTTTGAGTACTGGATGAAGAAGGAACACTCATTTGTGGGTCATCTTGCATAGTATATGATTCAGCCATAAGTTCAATCGCTCTACTTTTAACTGCAGACTCATTTTCTAGATATTTAACTTTGAATCTCGGATCACATAATGAACAAAGACCCAAAATCAATGCCATGGATGAATCTTTGTATTTGGCCTCCAGAGCCCCCAGAATTTCTTGTTTTATACTCCTGCTAACTTCAGAGTCACTGTCATTAACTTCAAGATTTTTTTTTACTTTATTCAACAGCGGCAGAACGCAGGAAGCTGTAATATAGTTGCTTCCACTTAAAGATTTCGACATTTCTTCAAGCAAATTCGTGACGCTTACAAAATCTTGAAGAACATTTATGTCAGATCCCTCAAGCATTAAGTGTTTTCTGGAGGGATAATCCAGCAAAACTTTGCAAAGAGGAAGCTGGTTGGACAAAAATCGCCTGCAAAGTTTTGTTGTGCTTCACCAACACTCGCACATGCACTCGGCAAGCTTTCAACGTTCATACTCAATTGCTCTTGAGCTCTTTGTAAGTCTCTTTTCATCTTCCATGAATGAGAAATCGTGTTCTGTAGCTTTTTCAAGCGAGAAATTGCTCTCTTCAAAGAAGACTGTTGTAAAGATTGGTTGACACCAATGTTTATATTGTGGGCAAAGCATGAAATCTGGTTTACATTCAGATCTCTGATTGCTTTAACAATGTTAGTGCCATTGTCTGATGTTATTGAGGGCAATGTTTTAACATCAATATTCCACTCTTTTAAAGTATTACTTAACATTTCAATTAAATTTTCTGATGTATAGTCCTCTATGAAATGTTTGCAGTTCAAACACGCACTTAGAAGTTGCCATTCATTAAAAATAAAATGAGCAGTCACTGCTAGAAAAGGAGTATTGGTTATCGATGTCCAACAGTCAGTAGTGATTGCGATATCACAACTCTGTATGGAAGATATTTCAGCCTTTATCTTTTCAACCGTATCATTATATAATTTCGGGATAGCTACAGTTGAAAAGTGCTTTCTTCCAGGCAGCTTATATTTTGGGTTCAAAACCCTCACCATTTCGTTGAACTTCGGATTTTCCACTGTGGCAAATGGCTGCATTGATGTTGCAATAAATTTTGCCACAGCTTCGGTGCAATTTTTAGACGATTTACTGTCCAGCGGTTGAAAATCTAACATAGTTTTTTGCCGCTTTTTCACACTTTCACTTGGGTTCTGCTCAGCATCAACTGGAACTGAAGGATCATCAACATCAATGGCAGGTATAGTACTTCTTGTCAATTGTTTGCTTGAAGTGTTTAATTCCCTAAATTTTAAAGGATGATGATGCTTTAGATGACTTGTCAGGTTACTTGTACCCCCACTTTTTGATCCAACAGTTTTTGAGCATAATTTACATACAGCAATATTTTGGTTTAAAATCCGGCCTTTATCATCAACTGGTAAACCGAAATAAATCCAGACAGCGCTTTTAGTGTTGGGCTTTGATACTACCTGGCAATATCCTGGACAATCAGTAAGAGCATCCATAACAGAAATATTCTATAAAAGAATAATAATGAAATCAATATAAATTTTTTTTGACAAAAGTTTTCAGTCTTACTTTACAACTCA